CTTTTCCAACCCTAAAATGCTTGAAGTGGAATATATATTTAAACGTTCAATATTGATCGTCTAGCTAATCACGATAGATAGGTTTACAATGGGACGGGGCCTAATTTATTTCTATGTCGAAATGAAAAAAAAGACGGCATCAATGCTGGTTTTGGTTCCCCCCTTAAAAAAAGATTATACAATGGCCAAAGAGGTTATAAATGGAACTAGAATAGAGTTCCCAACAGCAATATCACTGTAGTCAGATAAATGAATGTGTATTCACCAAGCCGATGAGAGCGAAGAGCCCAGTCGAAGCAGTAAATACGAGCCAAGCTCTAGATCTAGTCAGAATGTAAAATTGTGTGGCGATATTAGGGTATCGCGAGGCTCGAGGACAGAGATATTATGTTGCATTGCCAAACGGAGAACCAGAATGTTGTTTACGTCAAAAGTTTGGTCACTGTGACCCGTTAGAAAGGGCAATCCTCTTAAGATTATTTTTATATTGCCTTTCTCCGATTTTGGCCAATAAATGAAGTGGGTTGGTTTTGGATGTTTGCTTTTTTTAACGTCGCCAACAATGTCTGTGAAAATCAGCTCTGGTTTTACTCAGAAAGCTCGAGAATGTGCAGTGATGACTTTCTTACAGAAGATGATGAGTTCGACAGCCAGAATAAGTCACTACTTCTGACTATAGCGTCTTCTATGTTCTCCTTTCTCCTTAAAAAAAACTCATGCGACATCTAAAACATCTCTAAATAAAAACATCCGATCAACAATGTAAAAGAAACAGACAAAGGTGTGGTTTTCAAAACTGCAAAGCTTCATAATAAATACTTTATTTCCTTAACAACTGGAGAAAAGACGGTAAAATGTAGAAAGTGATTTAATGGATCTCCAATACCTTCAGGGAAATGAAGCCGTTCACGTAATCTCTTCAGAAAATGAAAGTCAATAAGGGCACTCTGGGGCCCATAGAAAATAAGGTGGAGGAAGCAGAGTCAAGCACTCATTGGATACAGTGGGACGTTTTTCTGCAACTTTGCACCTTTAATTAAATTTTGAAACCTAGCATCCCCTCTACTATCATAAAAATTAGGACATTAAAAATGACATTCTATAGATTTATATACTATATATATATATATATATATATATATACATATATATATATATACATAAGTAAAGTTGTTCCCGCATCCGATCCGGACATTGGGATAGCCTTGTTGGTGAGCCATCCTGGCCCTTCGCATATTGTGATAGGGTATATCTGGAAAGATTATAAATTAAATTAATCATAAACAAACGAAAGTAGAAGATAAGCTCAGGTATTTCATCTAATATCCCTCATCTTTAGTCTCCAGTAGGGATTTTAGGGATTTCCCTGTACCAAAGTAGGTTTTAATAACATCATTGCGTATGTTGTGTTCACTTCGCTGCGTAGAAAACACGCCACTAATAAATGAAAGGGTGCGTGTTTCGACAGTGAACAAAATTAAATTGATCAATCTTTAATAGGGTTTGAGCCACTGGTCAAACAGATGAAAACCATGTTTTACTGTCATATTTTAGTAGATCCACTAGGATGGCGTGTGCGCGCACAAACTTAAATCACTTCATGTTGGGTTATTGTAATTTATATCTTTCTCGGTCTTTATGCGTATTGACTGTTCCGTGTAAGGCTCCGTCATACGTCACTTTATTTTTCAAAATAGTGTACGGCGGAGTCTTACACTTACAAGTAGCAGTCGATATAAATTATTGCAATGATATTAAAATTTAGTAGTGACAACTCAACCCCAACTTCAGCAGCATTATTCACGTTCATAAATTTCGGCTGCCGTGTCAAATCAAAAATGCCTTCATTGAGTAAGACGTTTTCATACTGCAGCCATGAGAAGTTTCTGCTGGAAAGATTATGTAGCCTATTTTGAAAATTGAGCTTGAGGCAAACGAGAAGAGGAAAAAAATAATTAGTTGGATGTGGCCTTCGAGCATCTCGACTATCTCTCTTCCTGTCTTTGACGTTATTTGTTCAAGTGCTTAAGGGGAATCACTTACGAGACGGTCGTGTTGTTAAGTAATGTTTGTTTTCTATTGTCGACGGCGCAGCTACTGTTCTTGAAGGTGTACAAGATATCCGGGGGTTCAGAAATGTGTCTTCACGACTAACCATTCAGGTTTTATAAGCCAGGGATTGGTAAATAAGCCAAGCTCGACCTGTGTTGGCTCACGTATTATAATATTGTGTGAGTAGGTCCGGTTGTTTGAAAGGGCGTGAGCGGACTTGCGTAGGAGAAATTACCGGACAGACAGATGTGTGTTTCGTAAGTGTGTCTGAGGTCCTCGTGTCCTGGCTTTATGTATGCACTTAAAGCGACCCATACGCGCACGAGCCAATCTTACGTAAACCAACCAAGGCTCCTTGCCTCATGCCTCAGATTGAGGTTGGTTTTTTTTAAGCACACGCAACAGCCAAGCCTGACGGTTTTGCCATTTTGTTTGTTTAGTCAACGCAGTCTAGAACTAACGCAAACTTTACATAAACACCATCCAACATCAACACTCACCACAACCATTATACCTAAAAATTGTCATTGTTCTCAGATCCTTGACATACATCTCTTGAATCTCTATCTGTAACAGTTATTATAATAATTATGTACGTAATACACCATTGGACACCATCGTACGCACCTTTTTCTACTAATCAGATAGAAATGAGCAAGAGGCAAAAACATACACGGTCGGCACAGGTTTTGTTTTTGTTGGGTGTTTTTTCATGCAGAATTCTTATTTAAAATCAAACTATAGTATAGCGTTACTATGAAATTCACGGTAAATTTGACGATGATAACACATTTGAAGTCAAACGCATTTTAAAGTTTTTTAATAAGAATTGTTTACGCCCGCCACTCCTGTCCACCGTAGGAATATTAATTTGGCCAAAACATCTGGACTCACGCCGTGCCCCACTCCTGGCTTCATGAAACAGGTCACACAGGCAGTTATTTTTGACGGCTTTGGAGGGTTGGGGCCAGATCTCTGCGTGTGTGGGAGCCGTTCAGTTTGCTTCATGATTCGTTTCTTGGCCATGCGTGGGGGCGATAAAAACAACTCACCTCTTTTTGTCTGTTATCTTGTGTTGTTTCTTTTTTTAAGGACTGTTGTAATAGAGTGGCGATACATTAGTCCAGTCAATGAGGCCCTCATTATTGTGTTGGATTCAAGGTACATCTCAAACAGAATTCAGCAGGCAAAGCAGACCATAATCTCTGATAGGGTTGTCAAAAGAAAAGGTTTATGTTTGACGTGTCCCATTCACCTTTCTACTCCATGTCAATGTTCATGATAATACAGTCAGTTTGAGTGACCAGAACCTCTTCAGTGAATGGAGGGCGACAGTGGAAGGTCCCATCTCTTTCTTTTCGATCTGTTTCTTCTACCATGCTTTTCCCAGGCCCTAAATGGTTTTTTATGATAGTGATGTACATTTTGTAACTCAAAGAAACAAGACTGGTAACGTTCACCATTTAGTTTATTTTTAGTTTTTTTGCAACACAACTAGATGATGTAAGTGCAGAAGATTAGAGGAGTTACTAGAGAGTAAAATACAAAGAAAAGAAAGAAAAGAGACAATTTATGACGAAGAACAAATTGATAGGGAGGAAGTAGCAAACCACACCAGAGTAACATCACCACGTAGTATCCAATAAGAAACACAAAAGACATTTCTTGCGCTCTGGTTGACGGTACTTCTGTGTAAGGGGATATCGTTCTGGTTGCTTGAGAAGTACCATTGATATTATTATTTTAGGTGGAGCACTTCTCCCTCGTTTTAGACACGTGACATTAATTGCTATTCTTTTTAAATTGTAAACTAAGTTAAAAATAAGCCACTATCACAAAACAGTTACTCCCTGCATCACCCTCCCTCCTCCCTCCC